GGAACCACAAAGACCTTGTCCGTGAAAGCTTTCAAGGAGAGCAGGCTCCCAAAGGTCCAGTACCTCTCCCCAAGGACTCGCTCATTCGCAGGGTGACACCCACTGGAAGCCCCCTGTGGAACACGGGGCCTGCTGGAGGTGGTGCGAGCCCCATGTGCTGCACTGAGCAGTCCTGTGAGGGTGAACTACCTCCAAAGGAAGCCAAGCCCTGAAAAATAACGCTCTGTAAAACGAGCCATTTTCCCCCTCACTGTGATCGTCCTCTGTTCACTTCCAGAGAACAGAGGAAATGGTGTGAGCTTGTAAGAAAAAACTGTTCAGAGCAACAGCTGTGAGCAAGAAAAAACTGTTCAGACCAGCAGCTGTGGAGCAAGACAAGTGGCATGAGAACCAAGGACGCCTTTAGAAGAAGAAAGAACATCTCACAACTCTAATTGGATAAGCTTCTGTGTTGAACGACTGAAGAGTGTTTTTGCAGAATGCTCTGCTAACATGTATAAACAAAGTAGTGCTTAACAATAAAGCAGAATAACAGCTTTTAACCACACTGGTGTGTTATTATGTCTCTAGCGTGTCCTGGGAGTCCAGAGACTTCCCCACATGAGCTTCCATGGGAAAATGTCAGAGAAAGGAGACTGCTAATGGTTACGACCTGGTTTGAGATGAGTAAAAGGCACACCTACTGGAGGACGTGTCATTTTGGTGCCAAGGGGCCTGGGGTATGAGTACCACAAAAGGCGGTGCTGCAAGAGACAGCCGCTGTGTGCGGGTTTGGGGGCACAGGCCTGGAGTAAAGGGAGGGAACTGGGCTGGGAGAAAAAAGGCATCTATGACTGTGAGGAGGCACAGGCACAGTGAGCCAGAAGAAGAGAGCACATCCTGATAGGATGCCAGTGTTCCACGTGAGATAATCTGGAGTGACCTTGAGTACACTGGGAGGTCCCGTGTCCTAATAGGCACGCTGGCTAGCCTGTAAGGCACCTTTAAGGCACAGGATCAATGGTATTAATCCTGCTTACAACATCACACACAGCAGCCAGCATCCTTGACATACGCACTTTGGCGCTGCTCTTGCTGGAGAAATAAGTACTGTCTTTAGGAATGAGGGAACAGAAAGGCGGCAGCCCCATGAGATTTGGGGCCTTGCCCTGCCCTGGTTGGTCCCAGCTGCAGGAAGGGGGACTCACTGTTACAGAGGGCCCAGAGCAGCAGCCACTGGGTAGGGACCAGAAGTCCTTCAAGGGGCCCTGCTGGCCTGGCCTTTCAAGGTACCCTATCAGTCTTGGCACAGTCACGCTGGCAGCCTCCCCCAGCTCAGATACGCAGGGCAGCCGCTCTGTACTGGAGGTTACCTCTGGAGCTCCGCTCAAGGTAGCAGCCACTTTGTGTGTTGGATTGTTCCTTGGGAGAGAACAGGATGAAACTCATCCTGACTCCCACCCTGATTGTGGCTCTGGCCATAGTTTCATTTATCTGGGATGGCTTTGGCCGTTCCAGCTCTCATGGCCTGGTCTCTGACAGCGAGCAAAAGCTGGCCCTCCCTGAAAAGCAGCTGCTCGCTGACACCCAGGGCCAGGCCTCCAACTGTCTGCATCAGCTTGGACTTTCTCACAGATGGGTCTGGTCCAAGCTGAGCAGAGTCACTATTACAGAGGTCCCAAAGCAGCAGACCAAAGGCACAGAAGAGCAGGCCTTCACGGGGCCCTGGTGGTCTGGCCTTTCAGTGTTCCCTGTCAGGATCCGGAAGAGTGTCAGCAAGATGGTCCCTGCTCAGGAGCAGCAGCCTGTCAACACCGAGCACCAGGCTTCAAACTGGCCCTGCAGGCTTGGCCTCTCCTCCTGCCCCAAATGGCTTTGGTATAGGGTCAGCAGGGATCTGAGGCCTTCACTGGGCCCTGGTGGTCTGGCCTTTCAGTGTTCCCTGTCAGGATCCAGAAGAGTGTCAGCAAGATGGTCCCTGCTCCGGAGCAGCAGCCTGTCTACACCAAGCACCAGGCTTCAAACTGGCTCTGCTGGCTTGACCTGTCCACTTGGCCCAGATAGGTCTGGTACAGGGTCGGCATAGTTGTCAGAGGTCTCAAAGCGGCATGGAACAGCAGGCCTTCAAGGGGCCCTGGTGGTCTTGCCTTTCAGTGTTCGATTGTTCGAGGGTGCACTCAATGCCATCGTCTGTGTCACTGATGAAGATGTTGAAGAGCACCGGTCCTAAGACCAAACCCTGAGAGACACTGCTTGTGACCAGCCTTCACCCTGACACAGAACCATTGATCACAACCCTTTGACTGCGTCCAGTCAGTCAATTCCTAATCCATCGAACAGTCCATCCTTCAAATCCACACCTCTCCAATTTAGAGAGAAGGATGTGGTGATGGACCATGTCAGAGACCTTGCAGAAGTCCAGGTAGATGACATCCATCGGCCTTCCCCTATCCACTGAAGCTGTCACTCCACCACAGAACACCACCAGATTGGTCAGGCACAATCTGCCCTTGGTGAAGCCACGCTGGCTGTCTCAAATCACCTCCTTATCTCGTATGTGCCTTAACATAGCTTCTAGGAGGATCTGCTCCATCATCTTCCCAGGCACAGAGGTGAAGCTCACCAGCCTGTAGTTCCCCAGGAAGTTTTGAAGTGCTGAGTGAGCTTTGATGAATGTGTGTTTTGATTGCTCCGTCCTTGGTACTGTTTGGTCTTTGACACTGTCAGGCTTATATGTTTGGGAGTGCTAGTTAGTTAAAACCTATGAAGTATAGAGGCACCTGTAATTCCCCTTAGCAACCCTCCTGTATCACAGCATAGTGGACATCAGAGCACAAAAAAGCAAAGTAACTCACTCGCTCATGGCAAATGCTCTGCTGCAGATGTGAGGACAGAAGACAGCAGAACAAACTTCACCTGTACTGCAGAGCACTGGCCCCATCTCCTCGTGATTCTGGTTTGTAGGTGGTTCCTACAAGACAAAATCAGTCTCCTGGTTTACTTGGTTTACTCAGGTAAACCAAGTTTACTCAGGACAGCAGCTTGCTTTCACACAAAGGTGAAAGGTTTTAGACCTGGTGGTGTACAAAGAGTGGTAAATATTTCTTGCGTGCTAAGCCTTGTTATGGTCAGACAGTAGCTCTAAGTCCTATGAATCCCAAGTAGCCAAGCTGGCTTTATTAACAGCACAGTTAGAAGCCAGGTCACAGCTCCCTGCAAGGAGCTGTGTTTCCATGCAGCACTACCCTGCTCCCAGCCCTCCACCTGCAGAAGGACCAGCAGTGAATGCCACATGTCCTGGAATAGAGTTGCTGCGCATCTGCTCCGTGTGTTGCTGTGAGTTTATTGTGCAGCCTTGGTATATTCAGTAGAGAAATACTCAAAGGTATTTCACAATTACCAGTTTATCCCAGGTGAAATCAAATGAGAACTGTAAATCTGGAAAGTAAACAAGATGGGAACTTCTATTTCCTTACATTTTTTGCTATTGTAAAACTAAAGTAACAGATTTCTTCTTCCTGAGAGTTTTGTTCTGACCCTGAAATTGAGGATGTTGGGCAGGAAATGGGAGAGGCATGCTTCCAGACATGGAGAAACACATGCCTCGAGGAAATCCGTCTGACAACTGCCCCTGCCTGCTGCCTTGCATATTGTCATTGTGAATGCAGAGAGCTGATGGAACAGGGACAACAGCCGCAGGTTGAGTTTTGAGTTTTGTTCCACATCCACATCTGTTAAGAATTCCTAAATTCTAGATCTTTGATCTAGATCTAGATCTCCTAAATCCTAGACTTTTTAAAGCTCACATCTAAACAGGTAGTAATAAACAGACTGCCTTGCTTAAAGGTTATTCTTCTTTAGTTGTCATGCATATTATATATGCAACTTAATAACTGTGTGCAAATTCCAGACTAAATCCACTACAAAAAATCTAATTGTGAAGATTACTGGATTCAGTAATAAATCAGTTTTAGTTTTTGCTGTAACTAAGAAAGAAAATATTTTCTTTCTGTTTATGCTTTTGACTTATTTTTATTCTAGATCTAGCAATTCAACTGTTTGGATGACACTTCAAAAAAAAAGGTTCCTTGCAACCATTGACAGTGTTGAGGTGAGAGACAGAGGCAGCTACAGAGAACAACTTCAGAGGACAGGGCTGTGAGAACACAGGGAAACAAGCAAAATGTGGAGTAGTCTGGGCAAGTGCAAGGTGTCCCTTTGTGTGCCAAGTGGGACAATTATCAATTGTGTGGGTCATGAGAAAGGATTTGTCCTCCAATTGGTTCCAAATTGCTACCTAGAATAGGTGGCTGCAGCTTATTTCCAGAGTTTGAGTTTGCCTGGGTGTTCCAGCACACTCCACAAGGCAGTGCAGTGTAAATTAAGGTAGCACAGAGGGGTTCACCCTTGTTTTCTGGAGAGGAAATGCATCAGAGATGAAATTGGCCTTCAGGTCATAGTAAGTGTGAGAAAGAGGACTGAATTCCGTAACACTTTTCTGGTCTAAATCTGGAATAACAATTGCTTTAAGGCAGGTATTGTTACACAGATGTGCTGTAAGGGGGTTGCATTTACATGTCCAGTTGTAATCACCGTGCAGCAGACTTTGACCCAGGCTGTGTGCAGAGCAGTACATGCAGGTGCATTTCAGGTGCTCCGTGGCTCTATTTCCTTCAAACAGGGAAGAAGGGTGTAACAATTCCCATCCGAGGTTTTGCATCCACTTCTAGAGCATCTCAGGAAATTAAACTTTAGATTAACCTAGATGACTTCTCTCTCATAAATTTTGTTTAAAATTTATAGATAGCTTCAGCTATCTACTGTTATCTCAGTGTCTGTTACTATCTCAAACACCGCTTCTCTTTGCTTTGTGTGCCACGGGGCTTTCCCTTCTACTTCCAGTGAAGGAAGTTCAGAGCTTTATACAGCAGTGTGTTTGCAGTCTCATCTATCTACTCATTAGTGTCTTACGTAATATTCATCTTTATCATAAACATGGTAATCCTTTTGCTTCTACATCGCAGGTTCAACAGTGACCACTCTTGATTCGTATAACTCACAGCAAAGCCTCCATCTGTCTCATGGATTATAGATCTAAATTGGTAACTATCGCTTGCTCGCCATACTTATTAGAAGTTTTGTTAACTGCTCATAGTGTGTTTTCTGCTTCTGATAAATCTCTCCTGTAGCCCTAGCATATAAGACCTTAAGGTCACGGCCTTATTTCCTGTATGAGCTTTCGTCTTAGGACAGCATGTATTGGCTGTAAAATCCCATTAGTAGATAGAGATCTAATTCAGAATTTAGTTTAAGTCATGAAATGGAAAAAAAACCAAACCCAACACTTCTATTTTTTCAGACAATAGAGCACATAAAGGAGTGGGTTTTTATAATAGAGAGTTAACTTACTTGTGCAGCTTGTGATCTGGAATATTTTTAATGTAGACATACTTCTTAATACTTTCTTGGGGAAAAAAAAAAACAAACAAATTATTAATAAGTCTATTGAAAAGAGGTTATGCTGCATGTGAGTAATGTCTCCTGTGGATTGCTGCTCAGTCCTGAACAGAAGGGGTGAAGAAGCCTTCTGGTTTAGCTGCTTTTTTGTTTCTTCCCTACCATGTACCTTACAGCATGGTTTCTGTCATCATTTGTATCATTCTTAGAGCTCCTGACCGCGTTCCTGTGAGCCTTGGCAGACTGCTGATCTATTAGTCCGTAGTCGAGAGTGTTGACTTCAATACTACGTAATTCTTTTTTCTGCCTCTACCTTTATTTAGCCTCACTGTTTTTGCTTTTAAGTGAGTGTATCTGGTGATCTTTTTCTCTTCCTTCCACGTGTGTCAGTGACTGTGGATAGCCAGGAGTCAAACAGGTCCAGCTGTGCTTGTGACTGTGCCTCCTCTTGTTCCACGCTGTTACCGCTCAGTCCTTTTAAATCATGTACTGCCTTTTTTTCTGTTCTTTGTTGGCTGATCCTGAGTGCAGAAGCAGTAAGATGGAAGTAAGAAAAAGGAGGTTATGTCTCTGGAAAAAGGATGATTTGATGATGACAAAACAGTTAAGCAATCATTTTTAAATTGCCACTGGTATATAAACACAAAGCATTTGTGGTAAACGTCAGTTTGGGCTTTAGACATAAAGCAGTAACAAATATTAAAAGATGCTGCAGCTGTCAGAATTGCACAGCATGTGTAGTATAGAGAGTGCATATAGATTGATCAAGTTAATACTTCAGATATTTCTTTCTCTGTAGTTTTAAGTGGCATCGATGTGAACCTATTTTGTTGTTAAGAGGGGTGGCTGAGGGCAGGCTAGGAGACCCTCCCAAAGGCAGGAGAGACACTGACTGAGAAGGGTGTTCTTTGGTGGCTAATAAGCTCTGATTAAGATTTTGTTGTACGAGTTTAAGGCTGAGATGCCTTAAGTTGCACTAGGAGAGGTTCAGGTTGGATAATAGGAAAGATTCCTTCTCAGCAAGACTAGTGATGCAATGGTACAGACTGCCCCATGAGGTGTTGGGGTCACTGTTCCTGGAGTTGTTCCACAACTGGGGCAACGTGGCACTGAGGGACACAGTCAGTGGGCTTGGGGGCTGGGTTGGGGTTGAACTGAGTGATCTTAGAGGTCTTTTAGCACTGTAATGATTCGATGAACTTCCTCTCAGTGGCTTAGCGACTGCCATCCCACTGCTCAGTGCCCTCTGCTTGGCTCCCCAAGTTGTGCTGCATCAGGAGCTGAATCAACTTCAGAAGCAGCCCAGCAGAACAGGAGAAATAAAAGAGGAATTATTTTCAGCTGGGATCTGCCTGTTCTCTGAACGAGCTCATTGTGGAGTCCTAACAAGGAAAAGCCTGAAGCAACAAGAGAGTGAGAGGAAGGTTGGGATGAGGATTAGGAGAGAGAAATTGGGAGAATTGGCTTGATGATTTGAGCACAAATTCTGGGGCAGCCCTTTGAAGGCTTTCAGCTCGAATGCTTGTTGAATGCAGCTTCAGTAATGATGTGCTATCAGGAATTAGTATTGCTGTCCTTGCAGTTTCACTTCAGTGATCAGAGGAGGAGGAGGAGGAGGAAGCAAAAGTCAAATTCAAGCAAGGAGGTGGAATTCTCTTTGAAATGTTTGTGCTCCAGCACTGCCTGTGATGTTACAGAACCTGCAGCACCTTGTGCACAGCCCAGCCACCAGCGCCAGGCAGCGAGAGGTGTGCTTCTATGGCAACTGCGCTGCGTCCTCTGCAAGTATCCTCTGATCTTATTTTCTGCATTGTGCCTCTAACAAAGCTGCTCCAGCTGGTCGCCTTCTGCAATTGTTTTTTTAACTGGGATTGGAGAGTGGCATTTGTAGCCAGGTATGCTTTTGATTAGAGCAATCTAGGGGGGTAATGGAAGCAGCAGTGTATCATTTAAAAGAATGGCTTGGAGTTTGCAGGTGGTTTCCATAATGGTGGTAATAGGAAGAAGACACTGATGGGTGGAAAACTATCTACCTCTAAATCTTTAAATTGCTCAGGCTTTTAGTAATGAAGTCATCTCGTTTTTCCACTCACGGAGACTTGAAATGCAGGAGTGGAGATTTTTTTTTTTTTTTTTTTTTCTTGTTATCAAGTGCAGGTGCATCGTCAATGGTACTTGTGGAATTACACCTCTGTATGAGGAAAAGAAGTTATTCAGAGAACTTTGCATTGTTTTTCAGCTCAGTGATGGCACAAATCAACTAATCTGGATTCCTAATTTCTGCAGCTGAGACTTCTGAGATTTGAGCTGAGGCAGTGAATGTGTGTGCCTGAGTACGTGTGTCACCTGGATGCTGAGATGTGTTAGGAACTACAGGAGATGAATAGAAGAGCACTTTTCTGATGTGCTGGTGAGAAGAAAATTTGTACTTGGGTTGTTTTGGAGCGTTTGCAAAGCACTGACTAGCAGCTGAAGTTAAGAACTGTGTGTATCAGGGCTGGATTGTATCCTGCAGAGAACTGCTTGTGGGAAGACGTGACTGCAGTGCAGCTGTTGGGTATCAAGCTGCTGCTGGAGCTCTTCAGAGCTGTCCTTACAAACACAACCTGTGAAAGGTCTGTGTGGCCCTTTCTGTGTGGGAATGTTGCAGGTGTGTAATCAGAGATAAAGCAAAACCAACTCAGTTTGAACTTAAAACATGCACAGCAATTTGTTTCCCCTCTGCTGGAAACTTAATTTAAACTGGGATATCAGCTTAACCTGGCTTTTGGACAGTGTTTTGGGTTTAAGGCTTTTTAAATACAGTGGAAATTAATCACTTTTTTTCAGCAAGTGAAATCCAATGTGTGAGTGAGATTTGATAAGAAAGTGGACAAGCAGCTGCTTATCAGATCTGAGCTGCTGTTGCCCCTGTTTGCAGGGAGCCCTGACTGCTTATAAGGAACCAAACCTTCATCTGCTTGACAGCGGATTGATTTTGAAACAGCCTCAATGATCAAAACTGTGGCATGTTGCAGGGTGAAACTTCCTTCCTCTCCTCTCTGTCAGTTAGTTCAGTCTGTTTCGTTGTCTTCTGCTATGGTACAAATTGAGGTGAAAAGGCAGAGGTTTGTCTTCTGCTGAGTGCTGCAGCTGTGAAGCTATAGAGAAGCCCAGGTTTGCTTGGTGAGCTGAGGCTGTGTTGAGGTTTCAGACTCTGCAATTACTTTTTCGTTTCTGCATCCAGTTTAGGATCACAAGAGGATGAGGAGTCTAAGGCTGCATCTTTCATCTGCATTTTCTCATGTTTCCCAACTCTCTGCTCCCTTTAGATGATCTAAAGAGATCATCTACCTTTAGAAATACTGCCTGCAGCATTTTATCATGTTCTGTTTAATTGCTGTCTTGGGAGTAGGTAGCTCTTGGATGGATTTGAGGCTGATAGCTAAAATTTCTTTTGTCAACTGTTTCATCTTCTCCTGTTGCCAAGGTTTTATATATATATATTTTTCTTAATCTGTAAATATGGAGGGTAAAACTTTCGTAAGTATAAAAATGATGGTGGTGCATGAGCTAAAAATGCAGATTTTCCCTAGCAGTCTTAAAAAAAAAAAAAAGAATTATTTAGTTTCACCTGCCTCACTGGCTGCTCCACAAACAGCATAGCTGGATGCAATGTCAGAGATTTTAGTTCTTGTTGCACTACTTATTTATGGGAGCAACAGAGATGGCAAGCTGCCACTGGAGTAAAGAGTGCTGTTTCCCCAGTACTATCAGAACAGTCTGCAGTATCCATCTGTTAGTCTCCTACATACAGAGCAGTGCAACAGGTGTATTTCTTGGGTCTGGAGATCTTAGAACCAAGAGAGGATAGCAGAAATTTACAAGCATTATTTAAAAGAAGTTTTCAAGGTATGTTGCTCTTCCTTTAGTAGATGTAGTGCTTAAGTCATTAGAAAGAAGAGAAGCTGAACATATGGTATGCAATTAAAGGAAACAGGTTCTGAACTGTCCCTTTACAATGTTAGTCTTTTTTTTTTCCAGATGGCTTCAGTAACAGATGCCAGATACAGGCAGAAAGATACTTCGGATCAGAACTTTGATTACATGTTCAAACTCCTGATCATTGGGAACAGCAGTGTGGGTAAAACATCCTTCCTCTTCAGATATGCTGATGACACTTTCACGCCAGCCTTCGTCAGCACAGTAGGAATTGACTTCAAAGTGAAAACAGTTTATAGGAATGATAAGCGGGTGAAACTGCAGATCTGGGTAAGTGCCAGCATTTTCAACAATATCTCATACTAAACCCAGCAAAGACATGACAAAACTAGCTTGCTTGGAGATTAGATTGTTGTTATGAACAACAAAATCTGTATTAATATGTTTCGTGTGGCTTTTTTTTTTCTTTTTATTCCTGCAGCATAGCTTTCTCTTCTTAAGTTCTCTTTGTGTTGCTGCTTCAGTTGACTGATAAGACTCTTGATTTTGGTTTTAAGCTGATGCTTTTCAGTGTCAGGGGTCAATGTATTATTAAAGTGAAGCAAAACCCAAAGCAAATCATTAGCCTTTTCATAGAACCTTTTGAGTGAGCTCTTGTAGGTTAAAAAAAAAAAAAAAATTCAGTGAGCACTGAGTGAGTGATCTGTAGACAGAGCTTCTGCTGTCACTTTTATACCCCTTGAATAAGGCAGTGCGACCTTCTTGCCTCAGAGATATGCTTCAAACTGCCTTGACAGAAATGGCTTCTTGGTGAATCAAATGGGAAAAGAGTTTGTGCAGGTGAGCTAGAGGGCCCGTCTGCTCATGGCTCCTTGCCTGACATGAATGACAGCCTTCTGGCCCAGTTTAAAAAATAAATAAATAAATAAAACGTTCCTGGGCTTCAGAGTTCCAGAGTGGAGGATCGAGGCCCAGCAATTGTGTCAACAGCTCACTACATTCCCTTTCATGGAAAGCAGGTGTGTTCTTTCATTCTATAGAGTTGCAAATGACTTCAGTTGCATTTGTACCATAGTGTTTGTCCTGACAGTCCTTAACTCTCTGTGTCCCAATGGATTATAGAGTGTGTTTAAAAAAAAGCCCAAGCTTGCATTGACCTATTTCAGAGTACCATGAGGCTCCAGCTGCAATTCCAGTTAGCAAGATTCTTCTGTTTATGTAAAAAGAAAATATCTGAAATAAGATATCGGGCTGCCTTTCTTTCAAATGATTTCCTGGAGCTAGCTCACCAACATGAAACAGCTGTTTTGTGGTTTCTCCCACAGATTTAAGCTTAAAGGTCAGAATTGAAGATTAGTTGAAACTGTATAGCATTTCTACCTAAACCCTACCGCAGCCAGCTAAGGTCAGTCTTCTAATTGAACTGTGAAGCTTGATTTATAATTTGATCTCTTATTACTGCATCTAAATCACCCTTTTCATTGTGACTATTTTGAATCCAGAGTGAGAATCTACACTGCAGAAATGTATTATTGTTTACTGCAACTGTATGATTCATTTTATGTGTTGCTGGGTGTTGGAAATATCCAGATAATTTTTGTCAGGATGGTATCTCTGATACAAGCAGATTTTATTTGCGATCGCAGTGGCGGGTGTCCAGCAAGCAGGAGCAGCCCTAAGGCCACAATGACAGTTTTTCTGCCTTGTTTCCCCCTTTGCCATGTTTGAGGATTTCAGGCAAATCCTTAATCCAGGTAAAAAACCTTAAACTTAAGAAAAGATATGCCAGGCTGATTCCTTTGTAGGTGCAAGCTGTAGAAGCTGTGATACTGGAGTTAACCAGCAACACTATTGATTTAAAATTTATGTTCAGTAAAAGGTTCATGTAAGTGCTTGATAGTTTCCAGACTGACTTGTGCTCTTCTCTATTTCCGTGTTCCTTGTGTGGATCCATGATGTGAGCTGTGGCTTAAGGACCTGAAACAGAAACTTTCTGTTTACTGCTCAAGGACAAAAAAACCCACATAAAACAACAACAAAAAACAACCCCATGGAAAACGTTATTGGAACTTATTTGCTCCCTTCCTGTCCTAATTGCAATTTCAGTGTATTCTTCTGGTTGCATATAGTAGTGTGGAGCCAGTAGTGTACCAAAACTATGTTCCTGTGTGCAGGAATGAGGAATCTTTCTACCAGCCTGTCCACTGATTTACTTTTTAAAATGATTTACAGCTGTTATTGAGTTTCTGTGTGTGTAGTTACCTTTAATGCTTTATTTTACTTGTAACTTCCCAGTTATGTTGGCTTCTTACCATTGGTAAGTCTGAACTGAATCAGATTTAATCTGAAACTAAGAAAGGAAAGAGAAGGCGCAGATCTTTAAAGGAACCATTTCAAATGTCTGCATAAAAGCAAGAGAGGAGCACTTCTAGGATCACTGCTCTGAGCAGCTGCCTCTCAGTCCGTGGGTGCCTGCAGGTCTCTGGGAAGTGGATGCAGCTGCAGCATGCTCAAGGGGCTTTGCACAAGCAAGCTGGCTTTATGTCATGTAAATGTCAAGGCTGGGGAAAGTTCCCATGTCTGTCCTGCTCCACAGTCCAGAATGATCAGTGGTCTTTGGGACTTCCTGTGTTGACTCTTGCCTGTGCTGGTCAGAAAAGCAGGATGTTTGGGTGCAGGGCCCAGCTACCTGGAGATCCTTGGCTTTTCTTACAGGTAAGGGAAACCTTGTACTGCTTGAAGTGCCAACCTGTCAGGTATCGTGATCAAAGATGAGAACTGCACTGTTTAATTTTAACATAATTACTGGGCCTTTCACTTTGACATTAAATTCTCAATTACTCTAACTGATATTTTAAAAAGGCTTCTTACCAGTTGTGCCACTGACTGAGTGCCCTGGGAGATGACCCGTTTGTTTGAACAGACTTGAAAGGAAACTCTCTTTCTCTTGAGTTGGGGATGGGAGGAATGGGACCCATCAAAGGTATTTGTGGTGTGATAGCTCTGCTGCCAGAGAACAGAACAGTAAAATGCTCCTGAGAGGGATCATAGGGGATAGTTTTGTTTTCTTTTTTTTTTTTTTTTTTTTTCTTTAAAAGAGAACTGTAAGATCACTTGATTGTGCTTTAATTTCAAATCTTTCATGTCTTGCTTTGGTGATTTTGATGTAAATTGCATAAAAGCCCTTTACTGAGGAAGTTCGCATTGTAGCTGGATGAGGTTTGCTAATTATCCTTTCTAAATTAAACTATTATTTATGTAAATATATTAATATTATGTAGAGTTTCTAATATCTGCATAAATATAGTTCTAGGATTAGACACTTTTTACAGCACTGCCAGCTGTAATAATAGTTCCACATAAAACATCTCCCTAACTATATATTTGGGAGCTGCTTTATTATCCCTCTCTGTATGTGTGCTGTACACATGGCTACTTTTGTTCTTGACCATTGGTTTTGTTTTCCCAGATCTGCCAGTTAGTGATCACAAAGGAAAGCTGTTACAATTTCAGATATTCGTTTTTTCATTATGAGTAAATCTCAAAGGCAGCATTATTACATCCTTAGCAAACACATACAGTTCCCACTAAATGCAGTGCTCGGGTTGCCTAGCAGCTAGACAGGGCCACTCTGGCCAGATGCAAGTGGAAGCAAGGTGAATGAGTAAAAGGTTTTGGCTTCAGGTGAGAGCAGTGAAAGATTTGTTTTTCTTTTTCCTTCTGCACATTTTGATGTCTACTGATATTGACAGCAGAACTTTAGAGCAATGTTGTGCTGAGGGGACAAAGTCTGGTCCTTCACGCTGGCTCAATCTAGGTTAATTCCATAGCTCCTTGCATAGCAATGTAGATTTACTGATGGAGAATCAGTGTCAGTGTTGAGCTCCAAACATCTGCACACCGTGCCACTTTGGGCACAGCATGGTGAATGGTTTGTGTGAGGAATTTCATTGAGCTTTGTTGTACTTCTGTACAGCACCCTACACAAGTCTCATTTTTGTTGCATGTGCTATAAGTATATAAATGTGATTAATAAAAAACAGAACTAAATACAGACTTTGGCAGCTGGTATCACAGTTGAAATTATTTGCAGCCCCCTTCTTAAGCAATTTCAGGCTAAATTTAACTTCAAATTGAAAGGCAAAAAGGATGTGCTGTTCAGAGACAACATTGGTCCCTTTCAAATAAGTCTTGATTCTATGATACAGACTACAGTATGATTTTTTTTTTTTTTTAAGGTGCTGCTTATCAGACTTAAACTCCTAGGATGAGTACAGCTTTCTCTTTCCCATTAACAAAACTATTTCTATGGCTTAATTGCTGAAACCTGCAGGGGTCTGTGATGCTGGGGTGGATGTCTGGGATGTGTGCTCTGGGGAAGAGGGTACAAAGCACCATTGCTCTGTATTTTTGGGAAGGTTCTTTACCAACAGAAATATGACAACTGTTAATTATGCTGCTTGGCAGTTACCATTACAACACAGGAAAGTGTAAGCCAAAATAAAGGCCAAGCTGTGCAGCCATCTCCAAGGCAAATATGCAGTGTTTTAAAAAAGCTTTTTGTGTCAGTTGTTGCCTGGATGACGGGATGTTGCTGTGCAGCTCTACTCACAGGGTAGAGATTCTAAAAAGTAACGCTGGTAATGAGGTTCACCCTTTCATTTAAAGGAGGTGAATTTAGAACGCCATCATACTTGATTGTAAATTTTAATGTTAATTGCACACTTAAGCTAACGCTGATTATGCATTTCAGATGAGAGAATCATCTATTCCCCTGGCATCCTATTTCCATCTCGTTTTTGATAAGATCCTTATTAGTACTGGCTTTAAACTCTAGTGCTTGCACAAAGCTTGTTTCCAAAAAAAGATGAGTTCTGTAACTTCAATGTATAGATGGAATAGTGAAGGATGTCTCTAGAGATCTAATGAGCCTGATTCTGCCCAGTGGGTTCACAGCTGTTGTGAGATCCTCTGTTTTTACATATAAGGCAAAGAGCTAAAATGGGTGAAGTTATGCTAGTGAAAAAACAACGTTCCTTCTTGTAAGGGAGGCGAGGGTTGTATCTTATCTGCAGCACTGGGGGATTAATGGGTCCCAAGAAGAAAAGTCATCATGACTGATTGGCCATGAAGCACTGCTTCTGATGTTAAAACACAGTGTAGAATATCTGACTAGAGAAGAGGTACTGAAAGTGTAATTCAAACCACGGTCTTGGTTATACCTCAGTAGTGATGCTCCTGCTTTGGGAAGGACTTGATGCTTGTGCCACGCTGAATGTTCTTTAGAATTAGATTTAAAACCATGCTGAAAGGGACAGATGGAAAAATGT